TTTTGTTTTTGTTTGTTTTTACTGGCACTTTCCAAGAAAATAAGAATGGACAAGTGAGATGTAAGTGGATGCCCGGCAGGGCTGTCTCATTGTTTTTCATGATTGGTTTAAGTATTAACTCAAATGCTTCTCACAACCACTTGTGAGCATGTGCCTGCTTTGCATGGAACTTGCAGTTCAGAAACAGGACTCCCATGAGAATTCCCTTCATTTCCAACTGTCATTCCCAATAGTTTGCCAATAGGTAAAGCTTGGAAGGGCAAAGTCAAAATGATAGCAACAGCAAGTGTTACATTAATTCTGCTTCTTTAGGACTTTTATTTTTTCTAACTCTAAAGGGCTTAGCAGATCTTAGGTGAAAAAGATGTTCTTTTCAAAGTGTCACTTTGCCAGAAGAAAGACACCTTCCATCAACAGAAACAGTAAGAGCATGTTCAAATTGTGTCTATCCCTCTTAAATTCTGAAAGCACATTAAGGAAGAATAACAACATTCCACTTTGGCTACAAATCGCTAATTAATAACTAACTTCAATTCTCCCAGGGGTAAAATATTAACATTTTTAAATGAAATTAAGTATCACAATCTTCTTTTAATTATTATAAAAAGACTTAGAAGAAATACCTGTTAAATTATTTAGTCATTTGTTAGTGGTGTAAATATTATCAGCATAGTCATAAATATTTTCTACTTTGTCTATAGACAATCAGCTAAGGATCTGTTGCTTGTAGGGTATCAGTTAAGATCTGTTTAAGGCTGCCTACTGGCCACAAAATAATTACTTATACTTGAGTGATGCCTGAATCTGTTAGATATAGTAGCAAGAAGTGTTCTTTGTTTTTGTAAGTAGGGAAAAGTTGTTTTTTCTTATCTATATTTCATTGTTGATGTTATTAAAGAGGATTAGGGTGGGGTTGAAGTAGTTGAAAATTTAATTAATCTAATCCCTTTAACAGGAATTGTTTTCATATTGATAATTCTCTGTAACAACAGTATTACAGATCACACCCATGTGAAATATTTACACTAAATATTTTAGCATGTAATCCCCTCTCCAACTTTCTCTTTGGAGAATAGTAAGATTTTCAGCTTCTTCAACTTTCTTCTTTTTTCTCTCTCTCTCTCAACCTAGAGTGCAGGGACTGGAATGAAATCTCTTTCTTCCTCTGCTAATTTTCTCTCAATGTCATCATATCTTAGTAAGTTATGTTAATGGCCATCAAATCACTAATCTCCAAGAACATGAGACCTATAAAATAAGAATAGTCCAATTGATTTTTTTTTTTTTTGATATTTACAGTCATTTGGTGTAGATACTCATTTGAAATTATTTGTTTATTCATTGATTTCACTAAATTGTTATGCTTCTGAAAATATTACTAAGAGTAGAGTCAAATGAAGAACGACACTGTCATTCTGATCCACCTCCTCCTTACATGTCCAGTGTAAACTGGGAGTCCTTAATCTGCTCAAATGTCAAGTTTTGGGGTGACCTCTGACCTCCCAACATGAAGTTACAATCACCATCCCACCCCCAATGCCATCTCCTCCTTTAATTGGCTTTATTTTCTTCATAGCAATGATCACCATGAAACATTACAAAACACATATTTGTTTGTGTAATCCATTTCCCCCACCTAGGATGGGAGTGTCCCAGAAAGCAAGAATTTGGGTTTGTTGACTGCTGTATCTTGAGAGCCAAGCCCAGTGCCTTAAGTATAGTCATATAGAAGTAAATCAACAAATAATTTTTGAATGCATGACATTTTTCTCTCATACTTTTTGGTGTCTAAAGCACAGTTTTGTGCAAAGCAATGAGAAGGTTAATGTAAATATAGACATTGACCCTGAGCCAGCCGGCCTGCTGAGCCTCAGTGGAAGGGTGCCCACAGAGCACAGACTGTGTGATTTCTGTAGCCATGTCTTTGTCAAGGACTAAAACTGGGTTGTGCAATTGGCCTCCACACGTTTCCAATTTTAAGTCATACAAAGCAGACAATCTCAAAAGATGCTCTCCAGGACAATAGGGGTGACTGGTGACTAAACCCAAGAAGGACCCCATGACCAAATACCACTGTGAAACTAGGTATGGAGTGAAGCTAAGCACGGTCCTTAATTTCAAGTCATCTCAGATTATGATAGTACTCATTAGGACTCTCCAAAACAAGACAATTAGGCTGTTTCCCAGACTCATTTGATCTTAGACATTTCCTTTTCTACTCCCAATCCTGTTTCTACAGCAGGATCACAACAGAAGAAGCTTCATTGACTTGGAAACCCAAAAGGCCCACAGGAGGTGGAAGGCATGGTCCTGGTCCTGCCTCTTACTCACTTGGTTATGTGACCAGGGACAAGTTACCCAACACTTCTCTGTTCCTCAACTTCCCCTTCTATAAGATAGGGATGAGAAAAATGACCCAGGCTTATGTATGTAAACTGTCTGGCACACAGTGCTAACAAAATGGTGGTTATGGCCAACACCTCTTATGGAGTATAGGCATGATGCCTTTTTGAGAGATTTCTTCAAGTGTGTTTTCTAAGATAGATTTGTGAGTGCTAACCTATTTCCAGAATCAGCCTGATGTGCCTCCTCCTGTGGTCCCAGCACAATGTCCCCCTCTGAGAAACTCTGTGCACCTACACTAAGGGCAAACAAATGCTATCTTTCAGCATGGCTTAGTACAAATGTCTGATAACTCACTTTGGTGGATCCCAGGGAGTCTTTTCTTCTGTTTCCATACCCCTGACCTCAGATGCAAATGCTTTTGTCAGGAGAAAGGTGGGAGCATCTAAGTTGACAATTTTGCAGATGGCCACTTGCTGACAGACTTTGAAGTGACCATATTTTTTCAGTAAATTTCAAATAGAGGTGTGATTTGTGTAAATTTGACCCCTTCCTGTAAAATGTGCATTTACATATATTTAGAATGTATAAATCCTGACAGATTCCACAATATTTATAGCCCTCCATAAAAAGCCTTTGCCAGTTTGCAGAGCGTTGCATTTGGCTCTCTGGTATGCTTAAAAGAGTTTAAATAATAATAAATTTGGTGATTTATTCCACCTGGAACAGAAACTTATTTTCCCCCTCCCCCTTGGCTCATTTTGAAGGGGATACTATAAATAGTGCCACAGACGCTGGGATCAGGAATAGGGAGATGAAATTTGAGAGAGAAGTACAGAACATTTTTATGATCACTGATTCCTTGCATGTATTTTTAAAACAGTTCTGTTCCTCAAATAATGTACCTTCTCTCCTTTCTCCTGCCCTATCTCAATTATGCTTGAGTTCCCTAGACCTGTTGCCAGATTGAGGATTCAGTTCCATTAATGGGAAAGAGAGAGAGAATATTAGCTGACTAGGTAGGAGAAAGTTGCCTCTAGGGAGACCAAAGCAATTCTCCAATATTCATCTTATATTTCACAGTAGTCAGCTGGTAACTGAGCATTGGTATCTAAAGTGTAAATTCATTATCTGAAGCCTAGCTCATGCATTCTACAGGTATGATGCAAAGCCCACGGTTCATGAAAAAGAAACAGAAATCTAATTATAATTACAAAAGAAAGCCTAAGGACAATGTCAGAGGATTGATTCTTTTGCCCACCTATGCTCATAATTACCGAGTACTGGATAATAGAGACACACTTGAATAGTTGACTCCAAATGATGCTATTTGTTTCCTTAAAAGCAAAATAAACAAAAAGCTGGGAGCCTGGCATTTGCCATAGAATCTACTGATGAAAGCTGAGAGCAACCAATTAGTATAGCACAAGCGGTGTTGTAACTTGTTGTGATATATAGATAGGAGATTTGTTTCCAGCTTCTTGTTCAAATAGGCTGTGAAGGAAGTAGCCTTTGTTAGAGGGAGAATAATAATAACCCATATTCACAGAGAGCTGCCCGTGGCTGACACGAAGTAACCAATACATCAAGTGCCTGTGGTTTGATATGCAACAACCTCCTAATTGAGTAGTGGGCTTTCTTGTCCTGATAACCTGGAGCATACCCCCAGCTCCAGGATGTTCTAGCTAATACGATGGCAGATATTTAGACCAAGCCCCAGAGCCTATAGGGCACCAAATTTTAATGATTTGTGGCGAACAAAGTAAATGTTTTAAAACTAGACTTTATGAAGCAGGGACCCAGTTAAGTATAAAGGATTTGAGGAAAAGCCACAAGAAGCTAAACATTGTATGTAATGTCTCCCTCACAGGACACAGGTAACTATGGTTCATGGCTAATTTTAAAGCTTTGCTTTTTAAAGAACTGTGCTCTTAAGAAATGTCCTTGAGGCAGGGAAGAATTTCCCTTGCTTTTCTAGAGCATCTTTCTAAGAGGAAGCGGGAGGTATTGAGCTGTTAAACAGTTGCTCACTGTCTTTGTGCTTCTGTGACCACATTATGGGTCTAACACATATGGGATAAATAAACTGTTTTCATTTCTTAAAACACATGGAAGGAAACAAGACAGGAAAATTACCATATTGCTTTTTTTTTTTTTTTTTAAGCTATTAAAGAGGAGAATCCAGTTAGGGGAAATAAAAATGATTACTGAACCAGGTTTGGGTTTGTTCTTTTTTTAAAAAAAAAAAAATTATTTTAAAGATGTAGGGTGCGATTCAGGGTTTGTATATGAATGGTGATTGTACAGGTAAAGTTTGGGCCTCACTTTTGTCTCCACTTTACCTGGTTTGAGATTAGGTACCCTTATTGATGAAGTGTGCTCCCCTCATCCCACCCCAGCAGTTTCCCACTACTGCCAATCCCTTTCTTGTAGTATTATGATAATTGTTCTGGGTTCGCTTATGAGTGAGAACATGTGGTACTCATTTCTTTGTTTCTGTGATAGATCACTGAGTATGATAGACACTAAATCCATCCAAATTGCTGCAAAGTTCATAATTTTCATTTTTCCTAGCCTCTTACTGAGCAACAGCAAAATGGCAAGACTTATGCCAACCCAGTGTTCTGATGCCCCTCTTTTGTTCTTCTTCCATAGGGCAACCCCTACATGTGCAATAATGAGTGTGATGCAAGCACCCCCGAACTGGCACACCCCCCTGAGCTGATGTTTGATTTCGAAGGAAGACATCCCTCTACATTTTGGCAGTCTGCCACTTGGAAGGAGTACCCCAAGCCTCTCCAGGTGAACATCACTCTGTCTTGGAGCAAAACCATCGAGCTAACAGACAACATAGTAATTACCTTTGAATCGGGGCGCCCAGACCAAATGATCCTGGAGAAGTCTCTTGATTATGGACGAACATGGCAGCCCTACCAGTATTATGCCACAGACTGCCTTGACGCTTTTCACATGGATCCTAAATCCGTGAAGGATTTGTCACAGCATACAGTCCTAGAGATCATTTGCACAGAGGAGTACTCCACAGGGTATACAACAACTAGCAAAATAATCCACTTTGAGATCAAAGATAGGTTTGCGTTTTTTGCTGGACCTCGGCTACGCAACATGGCCTCCCTCTACGGTCAGCTGGATACCACCAAGAAACTCAGAGATTTCTTTACAGTCACAGACCTGAGGATAAGGCTGTTAAGACCAGCCGTAGGGGAGATATTTGTAGATGAACTACACTTAGCACGCTACTTTTACGCGATCTCGGACATAAAGGTGCGAGGAAGGTAAGAGAACCTCTGTCTGCCTTGAATGGGAAGGGGTGTGTCCAAAGAAAATGCTCACATGTTTGGCCCACAATGGTAAAGTGACATCTGTTAGTTTCCACTGTAACATTTTCGCAGGAACACCAGTGTAAGGAGTAGATTCTGAGACCCTTCACACTCACCAGTAATTTGTAATCTCAAACTTGCTGTTGCTGAACCTGGCATGATTCTTCAGAATGTAAATAAAAACAAACAAACAAAAAAGGAACTCCCTAGGTCTGGACAGGAGGTTCTTAAGTCTGTAAGTAATGAAACCAAGGGAAAGCAAAAGCCATTTGCCCAATAAGGGACTGCAGAGCAAGAAATACATCTTACCATTGTTTTTAGGTGCAAGAAAGGGTTTCAGCATGGTTCAACAATTCATTTATGTTTTGTTATATTGCACAAAAAATCCCGTAAATAAAAGTTATATTTGTTTACATTTATTAAAGCAGAACCGAAAGCCTCTAGGAAACAATGCATTTGTTAAATTGGGACAACCTCTACTTTTCGTGTTTTTGGATATTATTTTATTAAAATATATATACTAGCATTTACAATATAGACCTGAGTTGGGCTCCCTTCAAGTTGTAGATCAATTACAAATAGACTAGATTTGAAATACATTAATTAAACACAGTCAAGAATATCTTTGGTTTTGATAATATATCAGAGACAGAATTGAGCAAGTTCTCAAGAATTTGAAGATGTTTAAATTAAAAACTTGAATAATGAGGAACAGGACCACCAACATAGAGATTTCCAATCAGTTTTTTAAGCATGGCCTATTATCAAAATGACCAAATGATGGGAATGGATAGAAGCATGTGATAACGAGTGGGAAAAACTGAAGTTAAGAGCAGAGTATCTAAAAAATAGAAAAAAGGGAAAGACAGGAAAAACAATCATATGCCAGTGAAAAGGCCAAGAGAGCTTTAGATCCAAAAGTATGAGGACAAGAATACAAATGGTATATATCATGTAGTTTTTGTTTTGTTTTGTGTTGGGGGTCTCACTCTATCACCCAGGCTGGAGTGCACTGGCATGATAAACAGTTACAGCAGCCTCAACCGCCTGTGCTCAGGTGATTCTTTCACCTCAGTCTCCCAAGTAGCTGGGACTACAGGCATGTGCCACCATGCCTAGCTAATTTTTAAATTTTTTGTAGAGACGAGGTCTCTCTATTTTTTGTAGAGACAAGGTCTTGCCAAGTTGCCCAGACAAGTCTTGAACTCCTGGGCTCAGGCAATCCTCTCTCCTTGTCCTCCCAAAGTGCTGGAATTACAGACATGAGCCTCTGGGCCCTGGCCTAACATGTAGGTTTAATTAAGAAATCATAAAATTTAAAGCCGGGCTCGGTGGCTCAGTCTGTAATCCCGCACCTTTGGGAGGCTGAGGTGAGTGGATTGCTTGAGCCCGCGGGTTGGAGACCCACCTGGGCAGCGAGACCTCATCTCTACAATAAATCAAAAAATCAGCTGGGCGTAGTAGTGCATGCCTATAATTCTGGCTACTTGTAATTCTGGCTACTTGGAAGGCTGAGGCGGAAGGATCGCCAGAGCCCAGCAGGTCGAGGCTGCGGTGGCCGGCAGCGGCCACTGCACTCCAGTCTGGGTGACAAAGTAAGACTCCAACTCAAAAAAAAAAAAAAAAAAATTTAAATAGATAAGGCAGGATTAATTCCATTTACTGGCTTCCAGCCTCCCTTAGGTAGCCTAGTTCTCAGAAACTGGAGAAGTGTAAGATTCTCACACTGTCAGAGAGTTGTCAGAGAGTTGCCTCACCTATGTGTGCAAGAAGAAAGAAGAGGTCATTGCTGTTAAGGTCAGGGCCACAGTGTACACACAGAAGGAACCGGTGGACTTGACCTTAGCATGATGTCAAAGGTTTCAGAATCTTAACTGTGGAAGAGTAATAGGAAATGGTGGCCATTTACTCTTGGATTTGTGTTCCTCACGGAAGAATCAAGAATCTTTATTTGTAAAGTCTTTCTTAAAACTTTTAACCAAATTCTTGGTGATGTATGATGAATATACAGAGGGTGCCAAAAAATGTGTACACATTTTAAGCAAGGATAAAACTATATTAAAATGGTAATACTCAATATATACTGATAGCAAAAGATGAATACCAGTCACGTCTAACTTCTGCAATTACAAGAGGTGCTCAAGGTGGTTTCCATCAGTGTCCAGATACTTCTGATGACAGTAAATGACTGCAGAGCTTGTTACTGTGTGAGGCCTCACAGATCTTCCCTTTTGTACATTTCACACAGCACCATGTGTCCCACTCATCATGCATGGATTGGTGCAGTTGTCAGGCGTGCAGGAGGTTCTATACATACTCAACACCTCTATTGTCATTGTACTTCCACAATGTTCTTGAGTTTCAAAGACCACTTCAGAATGGTCTTGTGTTCCTCGAATGACAACCCCGCTCTTCAGCCATTTTCTTTGACTGTCCTGCCTGTCACATGGTGATGCTCACATTAATTTGATTAATGCCATCTTTTGAGCAAATGTCATACTACACATTGCTACTATAATTCAATTCAACTTCAAAAAGTAATCCATAGATAACATCGCTAAAATGTATATACATTTTTTTGGCATCCTCAGTATCTCAAAATAATATTTTGGAGAGAAATATGTATTGACTAAAGATTGAGCTTGTGAATTCTGGAATATAGGGGATAGTTCATGTAATAGTTAGCAGGATACCATGACAGGACAGTATGGAGCTGTTGCCTTAAACATGAATTTGCTACTTACAATAATGTAATGCAGCCATTATACACATGAACATTTTGGCAAAAGATTATCATTTTCTATAATCTTATTCTAGAATATCTAGACATATGATATATGAAAAGAATTTGATGTTGATATTATTATCAATAGCTTACCACAATGAAGTAACTAACAACTGTTCATCTACACAAATAAAGGTCAAAATTAATAAACTAAGATTTGAATTTTTATCCTAATGCAATCTACATTATTAAGTGGATTGATCTAGGTCAGTTTCCTTGCATTTCAATAAATCCTTAATCTGTCCAAATCCCTATGTCTCCACTTCCCCAAACACTCTTATTTGCCACTTGTTGCTAGTAAATAGATATTATCCAAGGTGTTTTCTTAGTTACACAATTGGAAGTGTTGATTTTTAAGTAGTTTGTTTTCTTCTAAGCTTTTCATAACTAAATTAATTGAAGAGTTATATTTGGCAGCTGCATAAATTTTATAGAATACAAATTCGTCAACGTTATGTTGTTTATTTGAAGTAAACAGTTTCTAGGAAGTAAACTGATTTATTATAATAATTTTTTTTTTTTTTGAGTTGGAGTCTCACTCTGTTGCCCAGACTGGAGTGCAGTGGCCGCTCCCGGCCACCGCAGCCTCGACCTGCTGGGCTCTGGTGATCCTTCCACCTCAGCCTTCCAAGTAGCCGGAATTACAGGCATGCGCTACCATGCCCGGCTGATTTTTTTGATTTATTGTAGAGATGAGGTCTCGCTGCCCAGGTGGGTCTCGAACCCACAGGCTCAGGCAATCCACTCCCCTCAGCCTCTCAAAGGCACGGGATTACAGGCTGAGCCACCAAGTCCGGCTTATTGTAATAATTTTTAAATCTGAAAGATAAAGCTTTTAGTTTGGGACGTAACCACTGTTAATGCTTATTTTTGTGGTCAGTATTCATTTTTGTTTCCTCTGAATTATTTCAAAGAAAGTGTAAAATGCACTTTAAAGCTGATGACATTTTTGTATGTATTCTCCACTGGGGTCAGACACGCTGTCTTCTAAGGGCAGCTTGTTAGAAATGTGGGTCTTTCCAGATTCACCACCTTTTTATCATCTCCAAACTAACCGTGTCCTCCAGCAGCATCTCAGTGGTTCTGAGAAGTTTGAAGGAGCCTCCTCCCTTCTCCGGACCCAGCTCCACTGCCCCTTCCTGGTCACCAGTCAGCTGTAAACTGGTGAGAAGCAGCTGGGCAAATGAAAAAGGTCCAGCAGAGGTGAGCCCCTTCCAGAAGGTCCCACTCTGTCACCTCCGTACTCTGTCCAAATCCTCAGGGCAGAACTGATGCTGGCATGTACCGCGCCAGGCACCAGATGGCTGGAGTATTTTTAGTCTTAGGGGAGGGACCAAAGAAGCAAGGCCTGATGGCTCGGGCGTGTCTCCAGCTTTTAAGTTATATAAGGAAGATCCGCTCATAATGGAGCCACTAAAGGGAGATGTTGAGCTGCCGCCGGGTTCACAGGACTTTTCAGCAAAGAGGCTCGTATAATTATTTCACCCTTGAAAATTTCAGTAAGATTAATGGTCTAAGTTGTCTTTCCCTTATATAACAAATTATCTATAGTAGGATTCAGTATTGATGATCTCTAAAGAAAGTTCTAAAGGTTCTTTTTAACGCTATCATTAATATATACTTTTGAGAATATAATAGAAGCCTGGGCACGGTGGCTCATGCCTATTATCCCAACACTTTGGGAGGCTAAGGCAGGAGGATTGCATGAGCCCAGGAGTTTGAGACCAGCATAAGAAATATAGCGAGACAACCTCTCTGTAAAAAAATTTTTTAAATTTGCCAGGCATGGTGGCATGCACCTGTATTCCCAGCTACTCAGGTGACTAAGGCAGAAGGATCTCTTAAGCACAGAAGTTCAAGGCTGTGGTGAGTTGTGATCAAACCACTGCACTCCAGTCTAGGCAACAGTATATATCTCCAAAGTTTTTGTTTTCTACATCCACTATCCCATAAAATCACTGAAACACTTGACATGCCTTTGCACTTCCTATATCTGATCATGATATTGGTATTTTTTCTACTTGTGACTTCACCCCCACCCCCACTATAATGTGGAAATTGACATGAGTTATTTTGGGAGAGTAGGATGGAGACCAAATGTAAATACTTGTAGTATAGTGGTCAGAGAATAGAGTTGTTTGGTTTTTTTTTTTACCTTGAAATAATAGAC